AATATATTTCTTTCCCTTGCCTTCGCCCCATTAGTGAACCCCAAAACATAGATATAGACAAAGATGACGGTAGCAACGAGCGCAATGACATCAACGATCCCATGGAGCCAATAAAACCAGCAACACACCAAATAGCTAACACCGAGAGGTAGAATACAAAACACAGGTGTTGGAAGCTCGTCAGCCTGCCTGCCTGTTAAGTCATTCTGTCGGCAAAACACCATCCACTAATGACTTGTCAATCACTTCTCTCTATACCTGCATATTTGCTCATATCTCTACACTTTTTGTTTCCTTATAAGATTTAGGCACAATAACTTCTAGGTCCATTTTCTTCTCTCAATACTACTTTTTTGACTAACAACTTTCGAGCGAGATGCATGCTCTGTTTATTTTGAAATTATAGGTAGTGTTTGTCAGCTGTTTAAAACCGAGTCAAGCCTGAACCTGACTTAATTTTTCTCTCATTTTGTGTTTGGATAAAACAATGCCAAAATTAGCCCATTTTTAAGTCAAAATTTACCCTTTAAACCGGGTTTCCCCCCCAAACTACCCCATATGGAATACCTCTAGCCCGGCTTAGGATAAAAATGGGCTAGGATCAATCCTGACCTAATTTTAAGGGTTTTACCAAACTGACCCTAAGCTCAAATGTTATCCATTTATTATGACCAATAGAAAGGGCTAATTGCATGTATACCACCCGAAGTATCACAGCATGTGTTTATTTTTTCCGATAAGTAGATCTCACGAGACAATCGTCAAAAAAAAAAGTTCACTTAGATGTATATCTATCAATATAAAACTTCAGTGTAATACGCACGTCGCGGTACTACAGGGTGTTTATGTGCAAATGTTTAATAAACCTTAGCAAAATGGATCCTATGTTGTCATTTCAACAGTAAATAGAATCCTAATCCTTCTCAAACTTTATCACAGAAGAAGGGAACAGTTAAGTGGGCACTAGTCATGTAGCGTTAGGTGCCAACACAAACAGCAATAGCCTGCAGGATGAAGCATGTTTATGTTTGTTTCCTACCAACAGCCAAGCTTGCCTAGTTTGTCTCTTGGCCAATGCACGCTATCTAAGCTAACACTGTGCATTAACAGTACTATGTGCAGAGAGCTTAATTTCATGCATGCCAATGGCATAATGAGAGCTTGGGGGAGAGAGAGGGGGGGCCAGTTGCCGACATCAACGCCAGCGCGAGCGTCATCAAGCAGGAGGGAGAGAGGAGAGGAGTGCTCTGCTCATTGCTCAGGAGCAGCTGAGGATGGTGGTCGAAGAACGAGGCAGCACAGATGCTTCACCCATTGCATCATTCAGTCAAAAACACTCATGGAGAGACACTTTTGCAGTTTGCACAGCTTGTCCGCTTAGTTTTGCAGACTGCATACGTATGCCCAGATTCTCCCTGTTGGTTCATTTCTTCAAGAACCAAAAATAATATTATTAATGCTAAGGAATAAATTATTAACCAGTTTAAATACGTTTTATTTTATTTAGTAATTGTGATCAGTTTTAGTGTTTACGGATAACGAGGATTTTGACTATTTTCCTTATAAACAGAGTGGTTAGCTATTAATCCTTCTAAATCGGAGTACGAGATGAGTATACCCGGAGTACGAGATGAGTATACCCATAATTTTGAGGGGTTGACTCATTTTAATCTTTCTAGTGGGGTTAGCTTAACATTTATGTGTTTTTTCTCTTGGTAAATTATTGAGGGTTAATTCACATTAACTCTTGTATAGATTTTTGGTGCTTGGCCGGTTAAGAAGGGGTTAAATCTTCTTAATCCCTCACTTAACCTATTGCCAAACTGTGAGTTTTGACGACAAATCCCAAACTAACAAAATTAAAATACCGCTCAATGAAAACTTCCTCTTTTACTGCCGAGGGGTAGCACAGGTGGCTAGTGGTTAGAATCAGGTCTCCAATTGCCTGGATCTGATTTCTCTTCTCGAATTTGTTGTCGCCAAAGCTAAATTTGGAATAAAACAGATATAGAACAACATAAGCTGAAGTGTTGTATTTTAAAACTTTTAAAGTTAGCTGTTGTGCGTTTGTAAAACGCTGTGCTTAAAGCAATATTTGGCCTCCTCCGGTGCAAGGATCCAAAGGCCAAACTGCTTGCAGGAACAGCAGTACAGTACAATGGTGTGCACCAACCAAGTACTGTCAAGATCTACTCGATCTATATGACATTTCGGTCAAGGCAACGATGTCAAGATCTCCTCGATCTATAAGACATTTCGGTCAAGCCAACAATCTCCTTGATCAGTTAAAACCTTTAGGTTAAAACCTTTCAGTTCAGGGCTATGTTCCTTCGGGCGCATGCTAAAGCTTGCGCGTTTTTAAACTCTGTAGTAGCAGCACAACAGCTCAATAGATTCAAACTGTTCAAGTTTTTCAATACTTTAGTGTGTTCGCATACTCCAAGAGCTGCCTCAAAGGGGCACTATTTATAGGCCTCTAAGGCCAGCTCAAGGGTCATCCATAATCAATATGACTGTTACAAATCATAATGACAATTATGATTATAACAGCAAATGACTTAATTGATGTAACTGCTGCATGCAGTAACGCCTGAACGCGAGGCTAGCGAGGGTCGCGTTTCTATGCAACGCGAGGGTCGCATCGTGCCTTGCGAACGTGAGGGTATCGAGCTCGAGGCTCGCACCCTCTCACGAACGCGAGGGTCGTATCTCTATGCAATGTGAGGGTCGTGTCACGCCTCGCAAACGCGAGGCTAGCCCGCTGTTTGCGTCAAAAGTTGGTTTTGTTATGGAATTCATTATATCTTCGGTCGATTACAATAAATTCAAA